GGATAACAGGCCTGAGCCACTGGCCCGGCTCTGGTGATCTTATGTGTGAAAATGTTATTTCATTTATAACTGACATCAAGTATACCACATCTAAACTGGAGTTCTTCATTCATCTACAAAAATTTCATCTAGTAATTAATTGCTAAAAAATTCACAAATACTGGATTTGTTCCATCTAATTGGGCCAGCATCTTGCATATGTCCTAGCCTTCACGTGATATTACTTCTACTGCCTAACATCTAAAATATGATTTTATTTTTATTGAGTGAAATTTTAAGTTCTCATTAAATTCAACCTTGCTAATTATTTATAACAGCTTCATTTTATCCTTGCTCTTATTTCGGCTCCGTCTACCTATATTCATACACCATTCATTTTTCATACTGAGATTTTTAAATTTATATAATTTAATCTGCTTGCCCATATTGGTATAGAATTGAATTTATACCTTCAATTATATTTTTCAGTAGGAAATATGTTTTCATTCATCAGTGCATGAACAAACATGTTTTTCCTTTTGATCTGAATCTTGATTTTATAATATTTTCCACATGGATGAGATTCATGCTAATCTGGCTGACAATTGCTAAATGCATATATGTAAACAACTAGTTTTTATATAAATAAATAAATGTTTACATAAAACTGCTTTTGAACTAAGCTAATCATAAATGAACATACATCTATTACTTTACTGTGTGCTGAGGACTTAATTGTGCCCACTACAATTCGTATATTGAAACTGTAATCGCCAATGTGACCTCATTTGTAGGTAGGGCTTTTAGGAGACGATTAAGGTTAAATGCGGTCGTAAATTTGGGGTTCTAATCCAATAGGATTTTAGTTTTATAAGAAGAGAAAGATACAGAGATCTCTTTGTGTCTTTATGCATACATACCAAGGCAAGGGTGTGTAGGGACACAGTGAGAATGTGACTGTCCAGAAGCCAAGAAGAAGTGTCTCTCCAGTGCCCACAATAGCTTTGGACTTTTAAGTTCCAGAACTGTGAGAAATAAATTTCTGTTGTTTAAGCCATCCAGTCCATGATATTTTGTTATGGCAGCTGGAGTAGACTAAGACACTATGTCTATTTTAGAAAAAATAGCAAGCCAATATTTTTCAAATTTTTAAATTATATATTTCATATGCATCTATAAATCCATATATTAAATATTACTTTTTCATTCTGAGGGACTGTAATCTCTTCCAGTGTCCACAAGGGGGCGTAGTTTCAAGGGCAAGAACTTCCCAATGCCCCCTTCCCTCTCTCCATCTGGGATACTTAACAGTCTTTGTTTTAATTTTCACAGGCATGGGAAAATAATCAAAGACAATCACTCCAGAGGAAGTTTAAAGGAACTCTTCTCATTGGCCAGGGGTCTTGGAGAAAGTGGGAATTCCACTCAGGTTAAAAGTCCCTGTCTCCCTCTTCTAGGCGGATTTCTCCTTCTGGGGTCCCCTTCCATTCTCATGGAAGCTGCTTCTCCTCCCCTGGAAGCTGCTTCTCCTCCCCTGGGTTCCATCTTTCTGGATTCTCTCACTCAGTGTGAAAGTGGCTTTTCTTCCCTGGTTTTCCCCTTCGGGGAACCCTTCTCAACTCAGTGTGAGAGCTGCTTTTCCTTCTTCTCAGTGTGAGAGCTAGTTGTTTCTCTCTCTTCCCTTCTCCTTTTTTTTCTCTCTCCCTTTCTTTCTCTCTACCTAAATAGATCACTTTCTGCAAAAACTATTTGAGGCCTGATATTTTCTTGCAAGCAGACCATGCTGTGGTCCCCTCTCCCATTCTTGGGTAACTGAGGGACCAAGAGCCCAGAAGAACATTCTCTCGGGGAAGCTGAGCACACCTCTGCACCCCCAAACCCAGAAACAATTCCTAATTTGTTTTTGAGATAAGTCTGTGTTGATATATAGATAATATGTGCTACTTTGGATTATTCTCTGATATCTCATTATTTTATTGATAGATTTAGGCTCTTTGATTTTTCATTGTTTCAAACAATGATGAAATGAGTATTCTTTAGATGTCATTTTGAACTTGCATAAGATTTTCATGTGATGGTGACCAGATATTCAGGTCTGAGTGGGGGCAGTCTGTTTATGCCTACTGTAAATCAGATGTTATTTTTAGCAACCTTTGACATTCCACTACATATGATTAATTACTCACTGAGACTCCTTTTGGATGTATTCCTTAGAGATGGACTTACTGGGTTTGAAGTTAAAAATATAGTCCGGTTTATTAAAGACTTCACTTTGTCTTCAAAATTACTACATGGGTTCAAGCTCCCAACAAAATTTTGTTTCTAAATTACCTTGACAATGAATTTTGTATCTAACTTTCTCATCTTTAGCAATAGGAAAATATAGAGTGGGATTTTAATTTTAAATATACTATCTTCTCATTATTAATAAGCACATGAAGGGATGCTTAAACATTTTGGGTATTTAGATTTTTTGACTATGAGCTTTCTTTTCAGATTCATTGACAATGTACTGAATCATGTTGCTTTATACATGCTGATTTTAAGAGACATTAGGATATTTTAGATAATAGTCACTGGTAAAACTATAAAAGCAAATATAAGTTCCTGATTGATCACTTGTCTCTTGTTTCTGGTGTTTTATTTTTTTCTAATTATAATGTATCTAAGTCTATAAAGATTCCTATTTTGGGCATTTTTCTCAATATCATTCCAAAAAGAAAAATATAGTTAAGCAGCATAAGGATTATGAGAAAAAGCAAACATTGTCTTTTTCTACCTGGGATATTCATACAGACATTCATAGAAAACAGAAGAATCAACAGAAAAGCAAGGGATAAAATGTGAGTACAAAGCAGCTATAAAGATTTAAATACAAATCTATTGCAATTCAGAAAATGTCATTAGAAAATGCAATAAAATACCATTTGCATGAACATTTTCAGGAATTACCTTAGAAATGCTAGTTTTTTAGAAAGTAAATTTTAAAAGCCAATTATGTCAAATAAAAGAGTAAATAAATGGCACACAAACTAAATATTGTTAATATAACCATCCTTCCCAAATTAAACAAAATATTTAATGTTATTCCAATAGAAAACTAAAAGATTTTGGCAATTGAACAATTTTGTAAAATTTATATGACAGTACAAAACCCTTTAGATTTATAAACCAATTCTGAAAAAGAACAGAAGGAGATATTCTACTATATAGATGACAATATTACAAAACCAAAGTCATGCACTCCTAAAGGTATAGATAAATGGACCAATATTAGAGAATAGAAAGAGTCTAGATTGCAAAGCACAGTTGTTTAGATCCTAGACTGTGAATCTAAATCACCAGGTTGGAAAAACTTGCTCACTATGTAGAAAAAATAAAATGAGATCAGTACCTCAGTTTAAACTTCTTAGAAAATCTTCTAGATATAATTCAGGAACATAAAAAAGAAAAGCTATGAAACACTTGTGGAAAAAAATAGGACAGCATTTTATAGAAATCTTCTCCATCCTAAAATCATAAACAAGGTGCAAATTGCAAAACATAGTAATTGGTTGATAATGAAAATGTTATTTATCTATTCACTGGGCAGGTTGCTTTAGAGTTATCTCATATTCTACTAAGTTAAGTTAAAATTTCTATCCTATTTGTCTTGCATGAACTAATGTCGAAACAAGGCATTTCAGCCCCTGTGCCTCTCCTAGCCCTGACACAGAACGTCTCGGCTCCCAGCTTTCCTCAGATGCCCCGAGCATCTCAGCGCTCACCTTACCTCACTGACTCCAGCAGTCTTCCTGTCCTGTTAGGTCAGGGCTTCTCAACTCTGATTTTGTTTTTCAGGGGACATTTGAAAACGCTAGAGACATTTTTGGTTGTAACAACCAAAGAGGAGATTCTAGAGTTATTCAGTGGGCAGAGGCTGACCAGGGATGTAGCTACTCACTCATCAGTGCACAAGCAGCTCTCCATCGTAACAAAGATATTTCTAGCCTAAAATACCAATCATAACTCTGTACTGGACTAGATGTTCCTTGTTAACGCAGATTGCGGCCTCCAAAATTTAACCCCCAGCAGTGAGCACAGCAGCTAAGGCAGAATTGAAACTCAAATATATTTTATTAAATGAATTATTAATTTCATTGATTTGTTACTGCCAATGGGATGTAATAATTTTTCCCTGATGCTTTTACTTCTTTCACAGGACCTGCTATTTTAGTCACCTATAAAATCTTCAACCCCAGATGGATTGCATTGAAGTTCATTTCTACTTCTCAATTACCAGTTTCTTTTAAGACTATTGTTCTATTAAGACTATCTATTAATATTTCCATTCTAATACATGATAAGGGAACCACTCTGATATCAAGGTAATTTAAGAATGCAACTTGGAGACAGTAATCCTACAATTGAATAAAAATATCAATATATTATGCAGCCTTAAAATCATCCTACAAAATAGCTGAAATTAAGACATAGCCCTAAAGGAAAACAGTTTAGGTATATTGGTTTGTCTATAAACTGGCCTATAAAGACTCCACAAAACTGTCTTTATTAGAATTTCTGTTTTAGAATCCTCAGCTATATTAAATATAAGAAATACAGAAATAGATATAAAAAGTCTCTTTTACACTTTAATAGCATGAAGGAAGGTAAGAATAGATTTGAAATACAAAATGAGAAGTTGAAGTTCATTTTTTACATGCAGAATTTTCAGTCATTTTTACAAACAAAAAGGTTTTCCTACAAGTGTTGCTCTTGCTGTAATCTATGGGGTTTGGGTTTCATTTTTTTGACCCGGGTTGTCTTGATTTTTTTTCGTCGTGATGGCTCCGCGTCGGCCTTTGACCGTGCTTTTGTTACAGTGTTGTGTTCTTTGGGCCGTGGTTTTTTGTATTATATTGTCTTTGATTTTTTTGTGGAGTGTTTCTCTGTGTGTTGGTTTTTGCTCAGTATTTTCTTGGTTCCGTTGGCAGTAGTGCGTTGTTAGGTTGTTTTTTCTTGGGGTCTGCTGGTTGCTTGTTTATCAAGTCGTGCAGCATGTTCTGGTGCTATTGCGTGTTTGTGTAGCCCGGGTTTATGTGTTCCTTAGTTTGGTGTTTTTTGCTTCCCTTTGTGCTCCCGTTCCTTTGGTAGGCGTTTTGGGTGTGGTCCCAGAGCTTGAGGCCTTCGTTGCCTTTGTGGTGATTTCCCGTCTTTCCTGGGCTGCCAATGTTAGTTTGTTTTGGTGGCACTTTGCTGTAATTGGTGGTGCTTTGGAGGCTGAGTTTGGCGGATTTGTTGAGGGCGGTTGTTTGTGGCTTATGTTGGGTTGCTGGGAGTTTGTGCTATTGTATTCTAGGCTGGCGTTCTCGTGTGTCTTAAAACAAGATTCTGTAGACTTTTTTTTTGGTGGTTCTTCTGTTTTTGCTTTGGATTTTCTTGTTCCTTTTAGTGTTGTCAGGGTTTGGTAATCCGTTGCTTTGTGTGTTTTCTTTGTTGTTGCCTTTTCTTTGTGTCTTTTTTTTTTGTTTTTGGCTGGTGACACTTGGACAGTAATGCTGGCCTATGTGCTCTTCTGGGGAGTTGCAAGCATTGGAACATTTTTTATCATTCTTTACAATGGCAAAGATTTTGTTGGTGCTCTCAGACTGGTCCAGAAAGGAAAGATAGACTGATTTTGTGTTTGTGGAAAGCGGCTTGGCTTGGAAGATTCCATTGTGCAGAACTGGAGTCTTTACTGACCTGCTTTCCACATCAGCCCAAGGTCTTTTTATTGCCTTTATCCAAAAGCACATCTTGTGCTCTGTGCAGGATGATGACAGAATTGATCGATGTTACTGCCTTGATGGTCTCTTTACTCTTGGGACAGTTATTAATTTGAAGCTGTTCTGTAATTAATATAATAATCTGAGTTCAGCTTGCAGAATGGAAGCTGAATCTGTTCATTTGATTCTATTGATTATCAATTTAATCAGCTGTTACAGAATAAGTAATATATTTTAAAAACCTAGCTTCTTTCATTGTTTAAAATAGTAAAATTATTTTTGTAGCTCAGTTTCATTATTGTCCTTGTAGAAGCAGTCGCTGTTAGCAGGCGTACTTTTTCACACATCTTTGGACTTTTCTTAAAAGTTCAATAATAAGCTAACTGTGTTTGTAAAATGTAAGTCTCTTACAGACATCAAGTAGTTTGATGAGACAGTCTGTGACTTCATCATAGGAAAGAGGAGAATGAGGTCTGGGGTTCTTTAAAGTTTCTGGTGGGCTGCCTCATGACTTGAATCAGCTTGAACTGCCAGTGCACCAGCAGTTTTAAGTATGATGAGAGAATTCAGATATACTTTATCTTTTTTAAAAAGTGTAAATAAAATCAAAGAATGTAAAGTCTATCTCTTACGCTAGAGGTCCAAAGCCGCCTCTATTTTAAAGATTGTCCCAGTGTGAAACATGCCCATGACTGGTCAGCTACTTCCTCCTATACATTTGGGTTTCTTTGAGGGTCACTCATTGAGACTTGCAGGCCTCTGAGAGGGTGTTGTTCTAGATTTCATATTGCACTTGTGGGGCAACAGCTGCTTTTCCACGCATGGTACTCTTGATGCTTTCACTCTGTCAAGGATTTTGTTGGCTATCAATAAATGTGTCCAAAAATTAGTGCTTCCAGGTAGTTATAGTTCTCCAAATCAAGGACCAACTTAAATGTTAATTTATGTGCAAAAACAAACCTGAAAAATATGCTTCAGAAACTGTGCATAGTTCTAATTGTAAGTCAGGTTGTATATTCAAACTGTAATTATGAGATTTAAATATTAGAACAGTATGTAAGGTAGTATAATTACCACTATTTTAAAACAATTCAATTAAACACTGCTATAATATTTCAGTGTTGTGCTTGAAAATATGTACAGTTTTTTCAATATTAATACCTTATGTTGTCCTTAAATATTTCTAAAAGCGCCTTTATTTCAGCATTACCTTTTTTTCCAACATTATCTTTTATAAAACATTAATACAAGTTGTTACTTGCAGAAACTCTAAAGGAAATAATAGCTGGAAAACCCTCTGTAGCTTAAAATCAGTCATTAAAACTTACAATAGGGTAAGTAAATATAGCCACCTGTTAACATGTAAATAAGCATAATTTGTTCCAAAGATGGAATATTGAAACTTAGTTCATGTCTGCTGTAATATATTATTTAAATGCTACTGGGCATTCCACTTAAAGAACTTAATGTCTGCAACGACAACAAAGACCAAATCCGAACTGCTAATGTGGCTGCTTTGTAGGGAATGGAATAATATAAGTGTGTTAGATCTTAAGGTATCAGTATTTCAGAATCCTGCAATGATTTCATTTCTAAATTCATGTACTGTATGTCCATAAGTGAAAATAAAATGTCATATTCTTTTCTAACTACTGTTAGTATGATTAGATACTGTTGGTATCATTCGTGTACATTAAATGGTGCTTCTTTACTTTTTGATCTTAGAATATTAAAAATCATGCAAAGTGATATGGTTTGGCTCTGTGTCCCCACCCAAATCGCATCTCAAATTGTAATCGCTACGTGTTGAGGGAGGTACCTGGTCGGAAGTGATTGGATCATGGAGGGGGGGTTCCCCCATTTGGTTCTTGTGAGTTCTCATGAGATCTGATGTTTTAAAAGTGTTTGACATTTACCTCCTCGCTCACTCTCTCTCCTGCCACCATGTAAGATGTGCTTTGCTTCTCCTTCACCTTCTGCCATGATTTTATGTTTGGTGAGGCGTCTCCAGCAATGCGGAACTGTGAGTCAAACCGCTTCGCTTTATATGTTACCCAGACTCAGGTAGTTCTTCATAGCAGTGTGAAAACTAATACACAAAGCAATGCATGATCATCATAGAAAAATTAGAGTAAGCAAGAAAATGAGTAGCTTCTGCAAGTTTGCTTTCCAGTTGTCACTTACATTTTGTGTCTCCTTATCGTTATTTTTTTTAGTTATAGGGAAACCCAGGGAAATAGTAAAGTGTAATGTCCATAAAAATGTGCCCCCCACCTTCAAATTGTATTTGTCTTTCAAAATGGTATAAATTCTAGCTAAGTGGGAAAATATTGCTTATGAGAAAATGACACCTTTACAGGAAGATGTCAGTGAGCATGAAGGAAATAGTGAGGTAAACACATTGGTACCTAGTGATGGCAGCAGCGGGCCGTCTGGAGTGGCTGCTGTCATTGTGCTGGCCACAGGGGAGGTGTGAGTGGTGGTGGCAGGAGCGACTGCAGGAGCAGCAGTGGAAGTGGTAAGACCCGTGTTCCCCACGTTCCTGTGCCCTGTGTCCCTGAAGCAGCTGACTGTGCTGCCCCCACCCACATGTGGCTGGGTGGGCTCTAGGCCCAGAGCCTGCACTGCTCTGGACCCTGGTCCCTGTCACCACCACTGTCACCTGCTGCTGCGGGAGGGTGTGGGGAGGAGGTGGACAGTCCCTGGAGCCCGCTGCAGGGATCCCCCCTGAGCCTGCCACCATGGGAGCTGCCATAGTGTGGCCAGGTTGAGTTACCTGCTGGCTTGGGGAGCAGCATGGTTGTGTATGGAGGAGCAGGCAGAGGGGGGCCTGAGGCAGAACTGGGCCTAGGGTGGTGCCATGTTTGCACATGGAGCACAGGGGCTGGGCCTGGGGTGCAGAGCTAGGGCTGTCCTTGGGGGCCTGGGGTGGGAAGTGGGAGTGGCGCCCACTTCAGGGACCCAGCCAGTGGCATGGCCACCACGCCCTCCCTGCTGACTGGTGCCATATTCCTCTGCCTTGGGAGGAGACTCTGCACAGGGCTGCCTGGGGCTGCCCCACAGCAGGGGGACCGTGGAGCCTGAAGCTCCTTACCACCAGGCCCAGGGCTTGCAATTCGCTCCTGGAGGCACCCCTGCTGACTGTGAGCCAGGCAAGGGGGAGCCACAGGGCTGAGCACTGGGGCCACAGGAAGAACTTATGGTGATGTCACCCCTGCCCCAGATGCTGGCATGGGACCGGCGAGGACCTGGAACCCCACCCCAGGCTGGGAGGAGGCATGGCCAGGGCTGCCTGCATGTTCCGTGGAGCAGGTACGAGCCTCACCCTCCCAGGCGCAGGACCTGGGCATCTCTGACCCTGCACCCTCAGGAGCCCTGTCCCAGAGTGGTGTTGGGGCCAAAGCCAGGCATTATCACAGCTTGACAGGGTGTGTGCACAGTTGGGGCAGCACTGAAACGCCAGCCCCTGCCACCTTGGCCCCCTCTGGACTTTGAGCACCAGCAACTGCTGGTGGAGGGGAGGGGCAGCTGAGGGGGAGACTAAGGGTGTCTTGGCACCGGCCTGCAGGTGCCCCTTGGCTCGAGCAGTCTGGACCCTGTGGATGGCTGCAGGAGGCAGACAGGCTCATGGGCAGAAAGGGGTGGGTCCCTGGTGAGGCCCCACCTTCAGGACAGGGAGGGCCTGGAGGCTGGGGGCTGGGCTGCCAGTCCCATGGACCTGACTGGAGTGGAAACTTCAGGTGCCTTTTCTGGTCCTGCCCATGGCCGCCCACAGGCCAATTGGCATGCACTTTCTCCCTTTTGAGGCCTATAAAGGCCCTAGGCTCAGCCAAAGCAGAGCAGAGACAACAGGACCACCAGCTGAGAGAAGACCTACGCTCTCTGCTGATAGCTGAACACTTGTTGGGATGACCCACCTGGCGAGAGGAGCTACCCTCTCTGCTAGGAGCTGGACACTCATTGGAACACCCTGGCTGCAGAAAGGAGCTACTCCCTGTGGGTCTCTGAGCTGTTCTATCACTCAATAAAGCCCCTCCTCGTCTTGCTCACCCTCTGCTTGTTCACGTACTTCATTCTTCCTGGCCACAAGACGAGAACTCGGGACCTGCCAAATGGTGAGGCTAAAAGAACTGTAACACAAACAGGGCTGAGACATGCCCCTTGCTCACCACGTTGTGGAAGAAGAGAAGGAGAAAAGACTTGCAGCCCTTTGGGGAACCCAGACCTGGGAGTTCCCTGAGTCAGGGCTGTGGCTCCCTCTTTGGGGCCCTGCAGTTCCTAGCATCTCCAAGCTTCTGGGCACCATCATGTTCCCCACTGGCAGCCATGGAAGCTGCTTGCAGTGTGTGCCTGGTCCAGCTTCAAGCCTTGCAGAGAGCCTGCACCCATGCTGGCACTTGGAGCTGCCTGCTCCACTGTGGGAGCCGGTGTGTCTTGACTGTGCAGTGGCTGGACCCCACACTTACACACCCCTTGTCACTCCACACCTCACTTGCCTTTGGCAGGCATGGGATCCAGGTGGGTAGTGTGGGCTGAGCTTAGCCTGCTCAAGGTTAAGTTGGAGCAGGATCTACTTTAAGGATTACTCTGGTTGTTGGCAGGTGTATTAGTTCATCAAGACACACCCGAGACTAAGCAACTTACAAAAGAGAGAGGTTTGGCCTGGTTCAGTGGCACACGCCTGTAATCCCAGCACTTTGGGTGGCCAAGGTAGGCAGATCTCAAGGTCAAGAGATCGAGACCATTCTGGACAACATTGGGAAGCCTCATCTCTACTAAAAATACAAAAATTTCTGGGTGTGGTGGTGCGCACCTGTAGTCCCAGCTACTTGGGACTGAGGCTGGGGCAGGAGAACTGCTTGAACCCGGGAAATGGAGGTTGCAGTAAGCCAAGATTGCGCCACTGCACTCCAGCCTGGCAATAGAGTAAGACTGTCTAAAAAAAAAGATAAGGAAAAAAAAAAGGTTTAACTGGACTTCCAGTTCCAAGTGGCTAGGGAAGCCTCATAATCATGGTAGAAGGCAAGAAAGAGCAAGTTACATCTTACATGGATGATGGCAGGCAAAAAATGAGAAATGAGGAAGATTCAAAAGTGGAAACCTGATAAAACCAAATCTCATGAGGCTTACTACCACTAGAACAGTATGGGGGAAACTGCCCCCATGATTCAGTTAGCTCCCACCGGGCCCCTCCCACAACACATGGGAATTCAAGATGAGATTTGCGTGGGGACACAGCCAAACACATCGGCTGTTGGACTGGTCCACTTGCTGGTTGTTAGCTGGAAGCCTCCCTTAAGTCCTTGCCACATAGTCCTGTTCAGCATGACACCTTGGTTTATCAAGTTAGCAAGAGAGTCTGCTAGTCACAGTGTCTTTTTTTTTTTTGAGACAAAGTCTTGCTCTGTTTCCCAGGCTGGAGTGCAGTGGTGCGATCTTGGCTTACTGCAACCTCCGCCTCCAGGGTTCAAGCAATTCTCCTGCCCCAGCCTCTGGAGTAGCTGGGATTACAGGCGTGAACCACCATGCCCAGCTAATTTTTTGTGTTTTTAGTAGAGACGGGGTTTCACCATGCTGGCTAAGCTGGTCTCGAACTCCTGACCTTGTGATCCACCTGCCTCAGCCTACCAAAGTGCTGGAATTACAGACATGAGCCACCACACCCGGCCCGCAGTGTCTTTTGTAACTTAATCTGGTAATTGTTATCCTAACACTTTTTACTGTATTCTATGCACTAGAAGTCAGTAGGTACAGCTCATTCAAGAGGAGGGAATTACATGAGCACGTGAATACCAGATGGCGATCTTCAGGGGCCATCTTAGAAGTCTGCTGACCATAGTAAGGAGAGAATACAAAGGTAAAGTGCAGAGCTATTGCTGGAGGGAGTCAGGTGGCCTCCTGGAGGAGGTGGGGCTTATTCTAGGACCTAGGTGTTCTGATTATCTAATGCTGTGTAGTAAATCAGCTCGAGAGAGAAAGGGGAAGGGAAGGATGGAGGAGGGACATAGACACAGCAGGTATGCCATGAACACCCCATCCAGGGCAGCTACTCGAGTTCCTCAGAGCCAAGGCACAACTCTGCTGTTATCCTCAACTCCTGGCTACATTTCCTTCTTTGGAAGGAGTGTTGGGAAAGGCACCTAGCTTACAATAATTCAGTACTCCACCTCAATCTAAAACTTTACCCTTTCCCTCTATATGCTTTTGAGCATCTGGAGCATGGCTGGGGAGAAGAGAACTTGCACCTTGGAAGCCCATGCTCTCTTTCCCACTGCCATCCCTGTATCTTCCCAGAGATGACCACTAGCCTTACATTTCTTTCTAGTTTGGTACATATTATGTATCCCTGGATGCATAATATGTATATAATGTGTATGTAATATCTGTATTGTTTAGTTTTGCTTGTTTTTGAGGTGTCTAGAAATGGTATCATTCTGTATGCGTGATACAGCTGGCTTTTGAATTCAGCGTTGTTCTACGATTCATCCACACTGATGGTTATAGCTGGAGTTCACCCTGTTAACTGTTGTTTACCTTGTTTGTTTGTTTGAGACAGGGTCTTGCTCTCTTGCCCAGGCTGGAATGCAGTGGCGCAATCTCAGCTTACTCCAACCTCCACCACCCAGATTCAAGCAATTCTCCTGCTTCA